TCCAAGCATGGCATGAGGCATGAGAAGACAGTTCCTGGCACACCACAACACAACGGTGTTGCAGAACGGATGAACCGTACCATTGTGGAGAAAGTTCGATGCATGCTAAGAATGGCAACTCTACCTAAGCCATTCTGGGCTGAAGCAGTCAACACAGTAGTTTATTTGATCAACCAGTCACCTTCAGTTCCTTTGAATTTTGAAATCCCGGAGAAAGCTTGGACGGGAAAGGACGTTGGATACTCTCACTTGAGAGTGTTCGAGTGCAAAGCATTTATGCACGTGCCAAAGGAACAGAGATCAAAGCTGGATGATAAAGCCATTCCATGCATTTTTGTTGGATATGGTGATGAGGAGTTTGGCTATAGACTATGGGACCCATAAAAGAAGAAAACTATCAGAAGTAGAGATGTCGTGTTTCATGAACACGAGAAAATTAATGATTTGAAGGAGGACAAAGCTACAGGAAGCTCTGGAGAGGGTGTAGAAGATTTAACACCGGCAAAAACTCCAGATGAAGAAAGGTGCAAGCACCAGAAGATGAGACAGAGGAGCCAACAATTGAAGAAGATGAAGCAAGTGTAGATGGGGGAAATGATGAGCAGGGGGAGCAACCCCTGCCACAGGAGGAAGAACCTCAGTTGAGAAGGTCCACCAGAGAGCACAAACCATCTGCAAGATACCCCAGTTCTGATTACATCTTGATCACTGAAGATGGGGAGCCGAAGAACTTCCAGGAGGTGCAGTCTCACCAAGACAAAGACTACTGGATGAAAGCCATGCGAGAAGAAATGAACTCCCTGTACAAGAACAATACTTATGAGCTTGTGGAACTTCCCAAAGGAAGAAAAACCCTGAAAAACAAGTGGGTATTCAAGCTCAAGAAAGATGGTGACAAGATAGTCAGATATAAGGCTCGATTGGTGGTAAAGGGCTTCAGTCAGAAAAAGGGGATTGATTTTGATGAAATATTTTCCCCAGTGGTAAAGATGAGCTCGATTCTCGTTGTGCTTGGTCTAGCAGCAAGCATGAATCTTGAGCTTGAGCAGTTAGATGTGAAAACTGCATTTCTTCATGGTGACTTGCATGAGGAAATTTATATGGATCAGCCAGAAGGTTTTGAAGAACAAGGGAAGGAGCATATAGTTTGCAAATTGAAGAAGAGCTTGTATGGACTAAAGCAAGCTCCAAGACAATGGTATAAGAAGTTTGACTCTTTTATGATGAGTCATGGTTACCAAAGAACAAATGCAGATCCATGTGTCTACATCAGATTATTCCCTGATGGCAACTTCATTATTCTTTTGTTATATGTTGATGATATGCTGATCTTGGGACAAGATGTTGAGAAAATTTGCAGGTTAAAAGAGGAGTTATCAAAGTCCTTTGACATGAAGGACTTGGGACCAGCAAAGCAAATTCTGGGTATGGCTATTACCCGTGATAGAAAGGCTGGAAAGTTGTGGTTATCACAGGAGAAGTATGTTGAACGGATGCTTGAAAGGTTCAACATGAAACATGCTAAGCCAGTTAGCACTCCTCTTGCAAATCACTTTAAGTTGAGTAAACGATCTTGTCCAACTACCAAAGAAGAAAAGGAGAAAATGTCATCTATTCCTTATTCTTCTGCAGTCGGTTCATTGATGTATGCAATGGTATGTACACGGCCAGACATTGCTCATGCTGTTGGTGTTGTGAGTAGATTCTTGTCTGATCCAGGCAAGATTCATTGGGAAGCTGTTAAGTGGATCTTCAAATATCTGAGAGGTACGACCAAGTTGTGTTTGACTTTTGGGTAGACTGAACCAATTTTGAAGGGATACACAGATGCAGACATGGCAGGTGACCTTGATAATAGAAAATCTATTTCAGGGTATTTATTCACTTTTGCAGGGGGAGCTGTATCATGGCAATCAAAATTGCAGAAGTGTGTTGCCTTGTCAACAACCGAAGCTGAATACATTGCAGCTACAGAAG